CAACATCTTTGAGAGGGAAACATCAATCAGCTGCCTCTTGCACACCCCCTACTGGGGATGTGCCCGCAACCAAGGTACATGAAAAAAAAGGGGGGGGGGGCAAATGGCCTAACCCATAGACATAAACATGAGCATGGTCATGGCCATGAAAAACATAAAAATAAAGGAAAACACAATGGAAAGCAAATAAATGGTTGCTTTGGGTTGGAGAACAAGTTCTTTTGAAGATAAGACTACATCTGCACAGACGCCAGAGAAGACAGAATGGCCAAAATCCTCCCCTCCCTAGCCCTATCAGGTGTAGCAGTTGCCTTTCCTGAATTTTGGGACTTAGATTTCATTGCAGCTATGATGACTAATATACCACCAACTCCCACAGAGAATGATGATTCTTGGATCCCTGAAATCCAGATAGATCCCAGTAGCCTTTCATTTAACCTGATATCTGACTTCCCAGAATCAACTTCCTCCAAGTGTCTTGGACGCCCCTGGAAGCCAGTTAATGGAATGAATCCAACTGTGGAAACAAAAGAATTTCATGATTTTGATCTCTCTGATGCTTTTTATTAATGTATGCAGCCATGGGTGTTTCTTTAACACTTCATCATCCCCTTTCACCATTGTCCAAATACCCTGATATAATGCACCAAAAGCCATGAAGCTTCAAACAGCCTAGAGAGAAGTGGTGAGACTCCCAATGGGGACACATTCAATTTCTATGGACAACACAAAACTGTGTGCAGGATTCTAAATCCTTTCAGAATCTTCTTAATGAGTTTTATTTTCTTTCTTTTTGTTGTTGTTGTTTGTTTGTTTGTTTGTTTTGGTGCGTAGCCCGGGAACCTCACGAGTTTTCTTAACTAGCACAGAAAATGGGCAAACAAATGCGCCTTGTGGCCTACTGCAATTTGCTTTTCTAATAACAAATATGTACCTTAGAATGGATGTCATAGGCTGTCATACAAAGATTCTTGCCATTCCAAATAAACCATGGCATCTGGTCCATGAACACATGTGAAAATAAGGAAAGTCAAGAGACTGAATGTGAACTTCTTAATAGGGCAAAAATAATAATAAAAGCTACCAGAGGTCAAAGAGGGACAACAAGAAAGACAGACTGGCCAAAGGGAGGACAGGGGGAAGTAAACTAATTGACTTTCTGTTTCCCAAACGGACTAGTTATATCAAATAGTTACTCCCAGTTCACAAAGCTATTCTGATAATTCCCTTTCTGAGTCAGAGTGTTTCTCATAAGTCAGTAAATTCTCTTTACTCATTAACTACTCTTTGCAAAAGGCTTTGAAATAGGAGTTTTCTGTTTGTTTATTTGCTGCTGAGGCTAGAATGAGCAATCTTTAGTTTCCAGCAGCTCTGAGTTTAATGATAACAATAGAAAGCAGGACTAGTGACATAGAAGAAGGTTTTATTTTGTAATTGACAAGGGAATATCATAAGATGTGATGCAAAATTATTCAGAAATTTTAGGAGGAAATGCCTCTCCAGCCACACTTTATCATTGAATCATCTTTTTGCTACGACATTGAGAAGCACTGTTTTTTACAAAAAAGGGACAATATGATTGTCTTTAATTGCTTCCAATGTGAGGGAAGCACGCATTTCAAAATCCTTGCTGTGCTCTGCCTAGGGAAACAGAACAGGGCTTTAAACAGCTATAGTTGCTTGTGGATGCATGTGCCACTGCTACTTCAAGTTATCGGATACATTTGAGCCTCTGAGTTTTTATTCCATTTCAAACATTATCTGTACTTTTCAATAAAGAACCAATGATGTCAGGAAAAAGTCTCCTCTTGTCAACTGGTTGCTTCACTCTTCTCTTGTTGAATGATAACACCATATTAACATAATTGCACTATACTTACAGGAGCAACTAAGACCCTGCGAGTACAAGGGCCGACCTCGGGAGGCAGGGGCACAGCCAACATCTGAGAGTGTGGCCTCTTGACCAGTGGGCAGAATCTCCATGCCTGGGACAATAGCCCCAGCAACCTGTCAGCAGCCCTGAATGGAAGGACAAGAAGATGGGATAGTGTCAATTGAGAAGAATGCCACTTCATCATTCTGTTTCTGGGTGAAATAAAGTTTGATCTTAATGTTCTCACTCTTGGTGCTCTCTCTTCCCTTCTTCCTCTCTCTCTTTGTTTTTTGTTTCCTCTCTCTCTCCGGATTTCCAGCCCAAAGTTAACAGTGATTTGTGTTGCTTTTTTTCCTTTTTTTAAGATCTAGATAATTATCAATAAAAGAAAACAAAAAAAATTATCTGTTAATAGGATGCCTACCAAGTTTTCACTAGCAAAACATATCAAACCTCAAAAAAGTTTTAAGAAAATTTAACATTTTTTTCTAGTTCAAATAATGGTAAAAATTAGAAATCTAATAGAATAAAAAGTGATATGAGATTTTTAATTTTCTGTAATAGGTATTTACTGAGTGCCTATTGGAGCCATTTACCATGCTAAACAGTTTCTGTTTGGTGTGTGACTTAGTCCTCACAACAACTCTGAGGTCCCCAGGACCACCTTGCATTTGCAATGAAGAAATTAGCTCCCAGTGCCCTGCTCAGGGTCACATAATTACAACACGACAGAGCTGGCATTCATACTCAGACCTTTTGAACTTCATTACACCAAGTTACCATTAGGTATTAGTATCAATGTCAGCATTACAAAAACACATTTCTGAATCTGAAATGATCATTATCTCAATACAAAAACCCTTATTAAATATCTTACTGTGTCTGATGCTATTCTGAGTACTGGTCAGGGTAAACTATGACTTAGTCAAGCATTGGCATTGGCTATTTACTCTTTGCTTAGCATTAGGTACTGAATAGAAGAGAAACACGTGTTAAAAGACACAAATCCTGAAAGAATTTACAATCACATTGAGAAGTTAAGACTAAAGTGTATGTAACAGACATTTAACCCATGCCATGATCATTTGTGGAGCAGTAAGCAGACCTGATGGATGGCAGAGGAAGATACGGAAGAGGTGAAAAGATAAAATTAAGCCCAACTGGTAGTTTGGATTTGAAGTAGGCAGTAGAGAGCCGCTGACCAGCCTTGAGCTGAGACCTGCTGAAAGAGTGTATAAAACCATTTATTTGGAAGACTCTGGAAGACATTGGATAGAATGAGATGAGACTGGACTCAAGGCATAGTACAGGTACTTTCACAGAAGGATCACCACTCAGGCTGGTATATAAAACCTATGGGTCTCACTCAGCAACATGAGATATTTCTACTTTAGAACCTTGTTAAATAAAATAATCATGAGTTTTCTGTGACCCAGAACCTACCTTTCACACTTAAAATATTTGCACCCTCCTCCCATTCCCAAGCCAAAGGCACACCCATGTTTCTGACTTTGGCTCTGAAACCACACAGCCTCCTCCATTTATACTCCTCTTCAGGACAGGAAGTTCCTCTTGTTCAGCTCAACCCACTTCTCTCACATTGCCCAGGCCAAGCACCTTAAGCAGGATGCCTTTACCAGTTTTCATTTCCTGCTAAGCCTCATCCCAATCTGTCCTGCACTCCTGATTTACCCCACATCCCCCCAGGCCCCTGTTGGTGCTCTGTGGGAGAAGGCAGACCACCCTAAGGCATCTTTTTCAGATCACAATGGCATAAAACTGGAAATCAACTACAATAAAAACAATCCAATAAAGTCAAACACACGAAGACTAAATAGCACGCTATTAAACAATGACTGGGTTACCAGTGAGATCAAAGAAGAAATAAAAAACATCATGGCAACAAATGACAATGAAAACACAACAATCCA